ACATAACCTACATGCCAAAGCAGTCCTTATTGTTAAAGAGTTCAGTAAAATTAGTCCTAGATGGTTTTCTCAATTGTTAGAGAGTCAGTCCATGGACTGAAGGGTTGCAGGTTAGATTCCAGTCAAGGGCATATGCCTCAATTTCAGGCTTAATCCTTGCCCTGCTCTCACATTGATGTTTCTGTCTCCTCCACTCCTTACACTCTCTCTGAAAAACAGTGGAAGATATATCCTCTGGAGAGGGGGAAAAAAAAAAAATCAGCAAAATGAAGCCTATTTTTTATTTATTTATTTATTTATTTATTTATTTTTAAAATATATTTTATTGATTTTTTACAGAGAGGAAGGGAGACAGATAGAGTTCCAGAAACATCAATGAGAGAGAAACATTGACCAGCTGCCTCCTGCACACCCCCCACCGGGGATGTGCCCGCAACTAAGGTACTTGCCCTTGACTGGAATCGAACCCGGGACCTTTTAGTCCGCAGACCGACGCTCTACCACTGAGTTAAACCGGTTTCGGCATGAAGCCTATTTTTAAAAATATATTTTTACTAGAAACCCGGTACACAAATTAATGCATGGGTGGAGCTCCTCAGCTTGGCCGGTGGCTGGGACCAATGGAGAGGCTGGCCACCCCCTCCCCGCATTGGGGTGATTGGGGGGGCAAGCCGGCCAAGGGGAGGGACTGCAGGAGGTTGGCCCCAGCAGCAAGTTAACCAACGACCAGTTCCTCAAGAAATCAGTCTCCTTCCTCCCTGCTGTCTGGGTCCGGGGTGTGGGTTAACCATATTCAGGGCTGTTAGGGCCCCAGCAGCAAGCTAACCAATGGCCGATTCTGCAAAAAATTGGGCTCCCTTTTTCCAAAAACATTAATGTGTTAATGAATTTGAATACTAAATAGGCAAATGGATAGGGTATAGGTCTTACCCTGAGTTTACTGTCCAGACTCATCCTGCAGAAAGGCATGGCCATCTGTAATATGTCTTTCCTCCTACTTTTTTTGAAAGTTTTTTTTTTTTTTTCAATTAGTTGACCTACAATATTACATTAGTTTCAGGTGTACAATATAGTGATTATACATTTATATAACTTATGAAATGATCATCCGACTAAGTCTAAGAGCTATCTGACGCTATACATAGTTATTACAGTATTAGAGACTCAGTGCCCAAAATTTATGCATGGGGGCGGGGGCATGTCTCTCAGCCCAGCATGCACCCTCTCCAATCTGGGACCCCTCAAGGGATGTTGGATTGCCCGCTTAGGCCCGATCCCGGTAGGATTGGGTCTAAACAGTCAGTCAGACATCCCTCTCACAATCCAGGACTGCTGGCTCCCAACTACTCACCTGCCTGTCTTTCTTATTGTCCCTAACTGCATCTGCCTGCCAGCCTAATCACCCCCTAACCACTCCCCTGCAGGCCTGGTCACTTCAAACTGACCTCCCCTGCAGTTCTGGTCACCTCCAACTGCCCTCCCCTGCAGGCCTGGTTCTCCCCTAGTGCTCTCCCCTGCAGGCCTAGATCCCCCCCAACTGCCCTTCCCTGAAGGCCAGGTCGCCCTCCAACTTCCTTCCTCTGCCAGCCTGGTCCCTCCCAACTGCCCTCCCCTGCTGGCCATCTTGTGATGGCCATCTTGTGTTTACATGGGGACAGCCATCTTGTGTGTTAGAGTGATTATCAATTTGCATATTATCCTTTTATTAGATAGGATTAGATAGGATAAAGCCTGGTACATGGGTGAGAACCGGCTGGTTTGCCCTGAAGTATGTCCTGGATCAGGATGGGGTTCCCTTGGGGCATGGGGTGGCCTAGGCGAGGGGCCTGTGGTGGTTTGCAGGCTGGCCACACACCCCGGCTATCCAAACGGAGGTCCTGGTATCTGGGATTTATTTATCTTTATACAATTGAAACTTCATAGCTTTGAGCAGAGCCAAGCCTCCTGCTTACTCCATGGCCACAGCCATTTTTGTTGGGATTTATTTATCTTCTATAATTGAAACTTTGTAGCCTTAAGTGGAGGCCTGGGCCTGTCAGGGCAGGTGGACAGCTTGGCTTTCTCCATTGCCAGGGGCAACTCAACCCTCCTGCTCTCTCTGTGGCTGCAGCCATCTTGGTTGGGTTAATTTGCATACTGGCTCCTGACTGGCTGGTAGGCATGGCTTGTGAGTGTAGCAGAGGTACAGTCAACGTGTATATTACTCTCTAGATAGGTTTACTGACTATATTACCAATTGATATCAACTACTATGACTATCTTATTATCAGTCTCTTCCTTTATGTTCATTCATTTAAATTTGCATGAAATACTTTTCATCTCTTTATTTTCATAGGTATGTAGTTCTTGCCATTTTGTTTTTAAAAAAACAATTTTAAAAAATTGTTTTTGTAGTTTTTCTCTTCCTTTCTTACTCTCTTGTTATCTTCTGGTATGTTAATGAATTTTTTTAGTGTGTGTGGATTCCTAACTCTATATTTTTACATCTCTGAATTTTTGGTTTGTGGTTACTATGGGCTTTCTATATAAAACGTTATGTTTATAGCAGTCTATTTTTGGTTGGTTGCTTAAATTTAAACATGATCTGTAAGCACCAGAATATTTACCCCTCCATGTTTATGTTTCTGTCTTTATTTTTTACTTCGTGTGTGTGTGTGTGTGTGTGTGTGTGTATGTCTGTCACTTAATTTATTGTTGTAATTACATATGATCTTATTTTTGCCTTTTAACCTTTGTAATAGCTTTATAGTTGGTTGATCCACTGCTTTTGTTATGTGTTTGCCTTTGTGAAAATTTTTCTTTCCTATATTTTCTTATTCATATTTTTGATCTTTTAAAAGAAGTCCCTTTAACATTTCTTGTAATAATCATTTCATGGTGATGAACTTTTATTTTTTTTCTTGTCTGGGGAACTCTACTCTCTCAATTCTAAATGATAGCCTTGTTGGATAGAGTGACTTGATTGTACATACTTGCTTTTCATCACTTTGTATAACTCATGCCAATCCCTCTGGCCAGCAAAATTTCTGTTGAGAAATGAGGTAACAGTCTTATGGGAGATGCCTGTATATCACTAATTGGTTTTCTCTTGCTGCTTTTAAGATTTTCTCTTTATCTTTAACCTTTGACATTTTAATTATGATGTGTCTTGGTGTGGGGTTCACCTTGTTTGGGACTCTCTGCACTTCCTGGCTTTATATGTCTGTTTCCTTCACCAGGTTAGGGAAGTTTTCAGTCATTTTTTCACATAGGTTTTTCACTTTCTTGCTTGCTTTTCTCTCAGGTACTCCTGTGATGAAAATGTTGGTATGCTTGATGTTGTCAAGAGGTCTATTAAAGTATCCTTATTATATATATATATTTTTTTTACTGTTTTGATTGGGAGTGTTCTGCTACCTTGTCTTCCAGATCACTGATTTGATCCTCTGCTTCATCTAATTTGCTTTTAAGTCAATCTAATGAAGTCTTCATTTCAGTTATATTCTTCATTTCTAACTGGTTCTTCTTTTACAGTTTCTATCTCTTTATGTAAGTTTGCACTGAGTTAACCCATTTTTCTCCTAAGTTCATTAAACATCCTTATTAACCAGTATTTTGACCTCTGTATCTGATATATTGCTTGCCTCCATTTCATTTAGCTCTTTTTCTGTAGCTTTTGCCTATTCTTTCATTTGGGACATATTTGTCTTCTCATATTGTCTTCCTTCTCATTTGTGTCTATGTATTAAGTAAATCTCCTGTATCTCCCAGTCTTGGCAGAGTGGCCTTACTTAGTAGCCGTCCTGTGGGGCCCAGTGGCACTGTCTCCCTGATCATGTGAGCCAGGTGTCCTTGTGTGGGTTTTTTGTATCCTCCTGTTGTAGTTGAGCCTTGATTGCTGTTGGCACATCAGTGGGTTGGATTGACCCTTAATATGACAGACTGTGAGGACTGAAGGTGACTACAGCAGAGAAGTTCTACTTTTTTTATTTGCTTCCACTGGACCCTCCCTTGGCAGTGATATATATATTTTTATAATAATTAGGGGAAGGGAAAAGGTTTAGTGTCTAAATAAAAGTTTCCATTGTTTCCACTGTCCTCACTCTATAATATATTTGAATGCAAAAACTCAACTGACACAAAATACCCATTTTTAAAAATACAATCCTTATCCTTAGCCAAAATATATAAAAGACTTGGAAAGACACGCATTCCTCCTCCAGGGGTGTGCCATGTTAATATTGAGCCTGGGAAGTGGGAGAAGGGTGGTTGTACAAGGAGATTCAGCATGAAACCTTGACCACAGGCATAGATCTCTCTTAGACATAGACCTTTTTTGGGGGGGAAAGTGCATTAGAAAATTGAGGATCTGGAAATGGATTTAAACCTCTCCATGTAACATACACATTGAAAGGCTCTTGGGAACCTCAGAGTACACATATTTCAGATTGAATGATGCTGAGCATGCCAAGATCATGCACACTATAGGGGGTGGGAGTGGCGTCTCTAGAGTTCACCAATAGGCACCCTATGGATCCTCTCCAGGGCTGGTTTTAATGGAGAGTTGAAAAGTCTTCCTGGGCTGGGGAGGGTTGGGAGATTATGGTCCTTGGTCTACTTTTTGGCTCTTTGAGAATTAATGACCTAGAACAATTTGTTTTGCCCCTAATACTTAAATAATGTACAGACATCTAGAAAGTGATGACCCTCAAGAGACATTTACTTGGTCTAAATCTATGAAAATGGTTCTATTTTAAATTATCACAGTAAAGTTTTGCCTTTGAATAGCTAATTTTTAGTATAAAGTGCTAAAAATACAATTTTAACATTTTCTTGTACTTCAAAATAAGCCTGTGGCCCCCATTTTGAAAAAAGCTGAGATGTGCTGGAGGTTTATTTTCCTGTTCTCTCTTAAGTATTAGGGGCAAGACCTGTGAGCTGCCTTTTTGTTAGAAAAGCCCACATTTTTGCCATCTTTGCCTGTGCAGGCCACATACTGACTCTTCTATTTGTATAAGAAGAAGCAGGGAGAAGTCAGCAAGGCAGCCAGTGCCGACAGCACGACCGAAGGCACGCCCGCTGACGGCTTCACAGTTCTCTCCACCAAGAGCCTCTTCCTCGGCCAGAAGGTAGGCAAACATGTGGCCTTGGTCTGCGCTCAGGCCCTGGGAAAGAGGGGTACAGGCCACCTCCACCAGAAGGCAGGCCTGGGGATTCCCAGAGGCCATTTCTGGTTTCGGGGTTATGGGGGGAGAGTGTGGAGTGGGGATGGTGGGTCTTTTGGAGTGGCCTGCAGGAGGGCCTGGTGGGAGTGCTGGGAGGAGACTGGCAGGCAGGAAAAAGAGGTGGTGGTAAAGAAAAGGGAAAGGCTTCTGTGGGGTTAGTCTTCAGAAGGAGCGGCTTATTTGGGATAACCTGGTCCTCATATAGCTCTGGCCACAAAAACAGCCACAAGTTAAAACTGGGTCTTGGAAGTATGTAAGGGGGGCATGGAGCCACCTGACGACTCCTCGAGCCAATTGTTTGCTTTTGTTAACCATGGGCAATATATTTTCAGCTGCCCCAGTGATGCACCTTTGCCAGGATGCCATGGTTTTGTAAAAAATGATTCACTTTTGTTGAACATAAAAATGATGCATAGGCTTTTAAGACCTGAGAATGAGAGTTAATTAATCTTTCTCTATTAACACTAAAAAAAAGGGGGGGTAGATAGAAAGGGAATGAAACTTTTAATTTTCTAACTCATACATTTTAAAAAGCTAAAAGTACAAATTTGGCCTTTTGTGTAAATTGTGTGTAGTTTGAATGGTTAACAACTTGGTTCTGCAACTGCATCATTTTTAAAACCTCACTGTCGATTTTCTTTTGCATCTCAGTGACACAGTCCTCCTGCTCACGTCATTCATTGCAAGTGCTCCTTCCCCTCCCCCTTCCTGTCACTCAGTGCACTCAGGCTCTCATGGTGCAGTTCCTGTGGTGGACTCTGTGTTCCAGCAAATAACCATTTCAGCTTACATTTTATAACCATTGTCTATATTCTGTATGCATTTTTCAAAGGAAAAAAAATAAGCAGCACTAGTTGTCATCTTAAGGTCTGGGACTTTGAAAATTTTTGTTTAAAATATTTTTTACATATTTAAAAATTTTCAACTCAGTAGTGAAGGCACCACCTGGGTCTTCATGCACACTCTTGAATACATCCTTTGGGTAATATATTGAAAGTTAATGTGAACTGTCATCCAAATTGCATAAGTTTGAATGAAAGGATGAAAACCCCTGTAAGTTAGGACCAGCTCATATGTGCTTCAGTTCCCTTATGCAGACAATTATCCAGGACTTGGAAGCCTGTTAAGCAGGTAGGATAGTTAAGTCACCCTTGCCCTTACTCCTTACCCTACCCACCCCACCCTTGGGTGCCCTGACCCTGGAATCTCCCTTTCCAGAATTTTTTTTTTTTCCTCAATGTTTCTTTATCTTTCCTATAACATCTTCCACATCCAATCACTGTCCTGTTTTCCAGGTCCATGAGTTTTTTTTTCATCAATCACTCCTTCCCACCCCCACGCCTCCACCAGAGCTGTCTGCCTGTTCTCTATGAGTCTCTATTTTGCTTATTAGTTCAGTTTGTTCATTAAAATCCACGCATGAGTGAAATCATATGGTATTTGTCTTTCTCTGACTGGCTTATATTTCACTGGCTTATTTCACTTTAATGTTCTCCAGGTCCATCCATGCTGTCACAAAGGGCAAAGTTTTTCTTCCTTTTTATGTCTGAATAGTATTCTGTTGTGTAAATGTACCATAGCTGTTTATCCACTCATCTAGTAATGGGGACTTGGGCGGCCAGCTCCTGTTGACTACCCCAGAGCCAACCTCAGCTCAGAACTCACCACACCCTTTGCTGGATGATTGCACATATTTCCAAAATTGCAGCACTCAGCCCTACAAATGGAGATGCCTTCCTTGGTCTTGGGATCTGGATCTTGTATGAGCTCCGCTGCATGTGAGCCCTGGAAGGGAGGCAGCAAAGGCTATAGACACCTTGCTGGCTCCTCTGCAACCGAGCAGTGCCACCTTCTCCTCCATTTGATCACACTTGGTCTCAGGACCAGGAGCCCCAGGCACAAAAGTACCAGAAATCCAGCTAATACTGACTGCACCCCCCTCAGGGCCGGAGAGGGGGAATCCAAAAGCTATAAAGTATCGATACTCTGTAATCATTTATAGACATGTCACCTGATGTTATTTAAGACATAGAGGAAAACTGAAGGTTTGACAAATGGAACTAATTTGCCTGTTTGATATCTTGACCTTTGGAGGGAGACTCTGAAAGGAAGATTGAGCTGGAACTCAGTGTAGAATGTCAGCTATAGGAGAAGGTGCTGAGTGCAGGACCAGATGGACCACCCGCTTCTTTCTCATAGTACATAGCTACGTGTTAGTGGTGAAAACAAAACCATGAGGCTGCCCTTTGTGTTAAATGTGCTTAATAATTCAAGACTCCCACCTCCAGGACGAGGGACCCCAATTCCATCACTGCAGATGCTTTTTAGCAGAGTAAACTGTCCCCTCCAAACATGGCATCACAGAGTAAAGTGGCACTTCAAGTCAGCATGGGCACCAGTGTTGGAAGCTAGTGAGCTAGCAGCTCTTCCTGGCACGCTGTGGCCCTCCCTGTAGCAGGAAATTGACAGTTTATAGTTCAGAGCACTATTTTGAAGCAGTACTTTTGGCCCATTATTGGCTATTACTGTCAGGTGAAAGTCATGGCATATAGTGCAAGAAAGGCAAGAGTCACAAAACTGACATGGATTTTTACACAAAGCACAAGAGCATTTTATACAAAAGCATGTTAAAATGTTATTAAAGACATTAATTTTGAGTTGGATTTTAGGAAATGTTTCAAAAAGCGTATTTGAGAACAATGACTATATGGTACCCCACATCCTATGAGTCTTTATTTTTCCATCTGTGGCAATTAAACCAAGGCTTGAATATTGCAAGCAAGCTGGAATGGAGAAAGGTGATACTGTGCTCCCTACAACTGTGTAAGGCACAGTTACTAAGCCACTCACGGGAGAAGGCAGCTGGTTTTAGGAAGCTGGGATCTAATTGGTGTTGACAAGGAATTTCACAAACTGAAGTTTCAAGAGTCATTGCTCTTATTACTCTGTGATTTTACCTACTATTCACACACATACATTGCTTAACTGTTTTCAAAGAGAACACAGTGCTGGGAATCTGAATCAACTAAAAGATTTTTCTTCTGTGGCTCAATAGAGATTTGCAGCCCCTTTTTAGAGATATAAAAAACTGGTTTTATTTTAAAAAGAATACTCCAGTATGCATCTCTATAAATCCAGGTCAGTGTAGTATGAGGCTTCCTGGAAGGGTCAGTGTTATCTGAAGCAGTTGGGAAGGCAGTGTAAGGGGTATGAGTGAGTCTTCCCCATCCCTAACTATCAGCATGGCAGCTGTAGCACTTATAGGTCACTAAAAGTAGGGGGGTTCCAGGGTTTTGCTCCTCCAGAGCCAGACACCCTATTCCTGGGGCTGGAAAACTATAAGGAGATTAGCTCTTGAAGCAGCATCGAGGAGTAAAGGGCCGTTACCCATTTCTATACTGGGGCTGATGATTGGCTTCTGAGAATCCAGGATGAGTGAAAACTGACAAATCCATGAAAAGTGGGCACTCAGCTCCTGGGCCACCAGCAGTGCCCTTATGTGTCCTGACCTTTGTGTGACACATTCTAGCCTGAAACACCAGAAGCCACCACAGACCTGAGGCTTCTGGGGAAGTCAGGCCAGGTTGCGTGCAGGGTGGACAGCAGAGTAGAGATGATGGAGTCCTTTTATCCCATAAGCAAGGGCAGGAGGGTGGGCCTCAGAGAAAACGCGGTTCTCCATGAGGAATTTACAAGGAGTTCTATGGGAGACACTGCTCTTTCCATCCTCCTTCGTTTAAGCAGACTTTGGGGACAGGAAAAGAATTGCATTTCATGTGACTAGCAAAGGGAAGTAAGACTAGTCAGTTTTCTCCTTCCTTGTCCATTTTGAGGGACTGAAACACCAAAAATTGACAATTAGTCTAGACTAAACATGTCACTCATATCTTTAACAATCACTTTGATTTCCTAAGATTGAATTTTTTATCATAATATGTAAAAAAAAAAAAAAGGATTGTACTGTTTCCTATAGCCAAGTAGGTTATGTCAAGCATCCTGGGCATCTAACCATTAGATCCAAGACCATCAGCTCCTTCCCTGTCAAAGTCAGGCCTGATGTTCCCTAAATACTGGGCACCAAGCTACCTTCCAGATGGCCAGATTGGCTCTGCCTCTGCCTGCACAAAGGGCTGCAGTCAGCATGTCTGGGGTGCTATTCTGGGGGCTCTCAGGCATTGCTGTTTGCTTCAGTGTTAGAAATTTATGTCACTGAAGAATGAGCATCTTTAGAGAGAGACAGACAGAGAGAGGGAGCGTGAGCTAGAGCTGGCTTTGCTGCAGACACTTGTACCTAAGAATGGGAAAGGGAAGAATACAAACAGGATAGTAGTCTTGAGCCACCTAATTTAAGTCCTTTGGCTGCTTTCACAGCTGAATCTAGAACTAGATTCCTCTCATACTGACGGTTGCTATGAAAACAGAATAACAGTGGGGAGGGGGACATTTAGTGACTCTTTAGAAAGAGCCGGTTGGTTGGGTGCTCATAAAACTCAAGGAAAATGCTCGACCGATGGGGCCTCAGAGTAACCTCACAACAAGGCGAAAAACACTTAAAAGACTCATTGTCTCACTGGAGAACTGCCGTTTTCTTCCTAGGCTTCACCAGATCTTCAGCATTACACGACTAATGGACATGTCAAATTAGATGTTACTAAGCAACAAATATTCTCCTCCTTGCCACCCCTGAGCAGGGCAGGGTAGCCAGCCAGTAGTAGTCACGGTGATGGGGACAGCCTTAAAGCCCACGGCCACTTGGAGGAGAACGGCAGAGCGACTAGGATTTTGTCCAGACTAGCTTGGGCTTTCACCCCACCCCACTGCTCAGAGAAGAAGGCAGTCACATGTAGCCCCCCACCCCCCCCCCCCCAGCAATGAGCCCTCTGGTTCTGGGTCCTGACAGCTGCTTTTGTTTGGCCACAGATCACAAGTTCTTTCAAAGGAAGTGGATCCACCAGTCCGATCTGGCTCATGCCTTTCTTTTGCCCTAAACATCACCCAACAGGTTCTGGACCCTCAAGCTAGCTTGCTTCCTTTCAGCATCCTGAATGACATTTGAGTCTTTTGCTAGAAATGGATTTGTTTTAGCCAGTAACTCCTTGTTTCCCTTTGTGCCCAGTGCCCTTGAAGTGTTCACTGCCCTTCATCTATGTGCCAAGGCTCACTTCTCTGTGACTTCCCGGCTGTCCTGTTATTTCCCACCTCATGCTTTTCTTTTCAGCTGAACCTTATTCACAGTGAAATCAGTAATTTAGCCGGCTTTGAGGTGGAGGCCATAATCAATCCTACCAATGCTGACATTGACCTTAAAGATGACCTAGGTAATTGGGAATGGGGTTTGGCGCCGCCAGCTGTCAGATGAAAAGTTATGGAACCCAGAATTTAGGCTCTTCATCTTCTCAAACTTAAGATAATCAAGCCAAATCCCCCAATACAAGATGAACTTTTGGTTGTAGACATTGAATGTCTGCTTACTCGGAGCCATTCCAAATGGAAATGATTTGATGGTGTTTCACTTAATGCCATTGGCCACTTTCTTCTCCTTGATAGTAGATATATTGCCGTCTAAATTCTCTTCCATAATGATCACACTGACTGCTGGTTACTTGGGGGGGGATTAAAAAAATGTATTTTTTTTTTTTTTTAGAATGGAAAAATCTCAGGTAACTACAAAATGATAAGTTTCTCCATTTAAGCCTTAATTTGACACTCAAAGCTTCAAAGCACCTGAAAAGGGAGACAAGCTGCATCAGTATACAATTAAGCTGTCTTTAATCCACCAGCAAATTGGTTTTCCCCAAATTTACTGCCTATTGTCACTTGTTCAACTGTTTTTTACAACTGAAAACAGTATATGGCTGAGTGCCACCATCATGAATTATTTGGCTAGAAGATGATATCAAACAGAGGAACAATATTTATTCCTAAGTGAGTTCCTACAGATGAAGGCACTGCCCCCCTAGCCACAGGGTCTCCCTGCTCACGAGGATTGAGGGGTCTGAGCCATCTGAGAGTGGCCCTCAGGTGTCCATCTGTAGCTTCACCTTTGTATAGAGGAGCTGTCAGCCAAAAAGGCTCCTGTCCTCTTAGCTGTGAGCCTTGCCAGGGGCAGAGGACTAGCACATGTCCACACCAGGCATCATCTTGCCTGACGCTGACTTACATGCATTTTGTGTGCCTTAGCTCCCACACTGGGCAGATTTCCTGGCTGGGAGAGATGCTTGTTCCAGAGTGCAGGCCCAACACACACAACCTAGGTGCAGCAGTGGGGCTGCGGACATGGGACTGGGACTCAAGAGTGCCCTGCTTGAGCTTGTTTTCCAACTGCCTTTACCAGATACTATCTCTAAAAACAGCAAAGGCTCCAAGCTAGAAAAAGCAAGGATTCTATCCTATTTTATATACTAATATATATATTTATATAAATAAGATTTCCTTGAACAAGTGGCAGGCCTGGAAGAATATTCTTACTCATTGAAGCAGAAAAATATAGTCCTCTATGTATACCTATACTGTTTTCTTGGTTTTCAAGAAGGTAGATAAACTGATGAATGTTACAAGAATGAATATCAAACCTGGAAAGTTGAGTGCTGCTGATAAAATGGAGAAACTGATTGTTTTGGTTGGCCTGATAGTCCACCACTTTTTAAGAAAAAACAAAAACATGCCATATTTTAGTAGCCTTTTCAGTGGGGTTCCAGTTATACAGGTTTTTGCGAAGTGAAATGGGGCATTCGTTGTTTTATTTCTTTTAACTTTGAAATGATCTCATCTGTGTGTTTCTCTTTTTTTGGGACTTGTCATTCAAATGTTTAATTTCAACATGTCACATTTGATATTCCTCCTCCTCACCCCCATCCACGTGTGCGCACACTTCGTGGACTGTGCCCCCTGGGCTCCTATGTTGGAATCGACCAGGTAGGCCAGCCCTGCCATGGGGCGTTAGTGAATGTGCCTGTGCGTGGGTCTCGGTCCAACACAGTTGATATACATTTGTTTACCTGTTATAGTTGCAAGTTGTACAGGCTGACATTGCCTCGATCGACAGTGATGCTGTCGTTCACCCGACAAACAATGACTTCTACACCGGTGGTGAAGTAGGTAATGCCTAGCTGGGTGCTGCCGAGTGTGTGTGTGCATGGTCAGTTGGCCGTCGCAGACAGCTTGATCTTTGACAGCTATGCAGGGCTGCCTTCATTTCACACTTCCAGCTGTCCTGACCTTCCCAAGGTCGCCCATCCCCGGGTTGTGAACATGAAAAATACAGCTAGCTGCCAGCTAGGTGTATCTTGCAGTTCACCAATGGGCACACTTCTGGTTTAGAAACTGGTTCAGCAACCTCTTTTTTTCATTTGCTTCACAAGGCACAGCGTTGATGGAGACTGGGTTCACACATGACTTCAGCTGCAAGGGCAATGCAACCAGATAGGCCAAGGTGCATCTGAGACTACCTGTGTGCCCTCTGTGCACCAGACATATAGGGAAGCTGTGCTCAGGTCTCCGTGCCCCCAACCCCACCCCTCTCTCCACATCAGAAGCACACTCCTTCCTGAAAATGGCCTTAAAGGCTCAAGTGCCCACTGGGGCAGTTTCAGAACACTCTCCATACTCGGGGGTTCTCAGACCTTCCAGGAACAAAAATCACCTCATTCTGATGTGTCTCGAGAAACACTCTCCTAGACCCAGAAAGCCCCTTCTCTCCCTAGCAGCTGACACACATCATTGGTTGGTTCTGGTGCTAAATAACTGAGAATGGGGTGAAGCAGAGAGCACTGGGGGTGCTGAGCCTGTGGCTGCCAACGTGTTGCCACAGTGGGCCAGGCAGTGCCCTGCTTTAAGAATGTGATGAGGCATTTATGTGATGAGGCATCGATGGCAAAAATACAGCAGGATTGGAGCTAAGTACAGGGGCTTGAATCTTAATCTCACCATTTACTGGTTATGAGGTCTGGGCAAGTCACTTAACTCCCTGATGCCTCAGTTTCCCTATCTTAAAAATAGTGCTAAATAATGAAAATTACGTTAAATAACTAATCAGCAAAGCACCGTGTTTTGCACCTGGCTCGTGATTGGTGCTGACCTATTGGTGCTCGCTCCCTTGTGTGTGAATTTTACAGTAGATATGCTGAGAGGAGCATTCTGAGTGTAGATTCAAACACCAGCTTCCAGAGAGAATGGAGACATCTCTAACTGGGGCAAAGGTGAGGTCATCCTGAAGGATGAGACTATCGGGATTTTCGTGAGTGTCCTGGTTCTGGAGGCACCACAGTTAGTATAGTCTGGTGGCCCAGCTCTGTTTCTTGTCACTAGCAGAGCCTGCTGTTCAGCCTGCTCTAGCCTCTGTGATTTGGGCTAATTGCTCTCCTGGGCATTCTGAATTTCGGACATGGATGGAAAGACAAACCGGACGGAAAGTCAGGATTTGCCAAGTCTGTCAGGTCAAAATGAAACCAGACTGTAGGTAATTAAACACCCCTTTGACAAGATTTTAGAGGAGTTTAAGAGCTCCTAAGTCGGGCAGTTTAAGAGAGAGATACTTTCTTTCTTAACCAATTGAAAACTTGGTGGGAGAAAAATACTTATTTGAAGGAAAATAAATAAACCAAACAGCTGCCACCCAGGAATTTTAGTGAAATGGGAATTATGATACTTCCTGGGCCCAAGGAGAGGAGATGAGCTACTGAGCTGCTGGCAGTGGAAGGCCTGTGTGCAGCAGGATCAGTCCCAGGGATGGGGAACGGGGGGCGGGGGGCGGGGGGGGGGCGGGGGGTGTAGTTGGGGGAAGGGAGTACAGCTGGAGGCTTTGAGAGGATCCCAGGCAGTCAACTCAGCCCTGTCAAGAACCCAGTCCTTCCTGAATAATGACAGTGCCAATCCTTTTCCCCCTGGCCTGCTTGTCCTCAGCCCCCTAGTGTGCACAGAGTAAACATGATAGCCTCAGGGACATGTAAGTAACTTGGGCTCAAGAGCTTGCCCAAGGTCACATCGCTCACTCACACTGTCACAGCTGGAAAAGAACCTCAGCAGGTCCAGACCGCCTGACAGACTAAGGAGGAATCCGAACCCAGGTCTTCAAAAGCCCACCTCAGTGCTTTTTCTTGGTGAACCAGTTCAAACTAGTACTGAGCCCAGATTTCTTTTCTAATTCCAAACCAATGATCAACCAGATTCACACGTACTCTCAATTGCTTCCAGCTCCCACTTTTGATGTGTGAGCGGGGAAACAAGGAAGCTAGGACACAATCACTCCATTTCTCATATTTGGTGTGAATTCCTGAATCCCGAGACCGCTGGAAGAAGGAATGCGAGTGCAGGAATGCTTAGCCCCAGTGATTAACTTTACCCATCAAAAGTTCTTTCTAACAGTGAAATAGACCACAGGCTTAGCCTGACATTTGTCCAAGCCTAAATTTTCGCTTAGGCTGTTTTGAACACTGATACTTATGCCTGCTTTCGAAGCATGAAAATAATGTTCTTGTTCTCATGGGAGTAACACATGTTTATGCTTGGGGGCAAATAAGTCAATTGCTTTATGATTAACCCTGAAGTTAAGCCTAAAAAGCAAGAGTCTGACATTGAGTGTTGACAATACAGTTGAAATGGGCCTGTTTCTTGTTAAAAAGTACCTGTGTGTCTACATGAACATGTGCATACATATGTGTGTGTAGGAGTCGAGTCCTGACTGGGTGCATTGCCTGCAATCTAGGGTTCAATTTTTAAGTTTGGGTATTAAGTGTATTTAACTGGCAAATTTCACTTCTAATTAAAGCAAGATTTAATTATAAGTAAAAATTTTAAAGTAAACACTCTTCCTAAGATAGAATATCTTTAATTGTAAATCATCCCATTTTCTTAAATATTTAGTGTTTTAGAAAGGAGTTGGTAGTATTAATATAGTACTGATTTTATTTTCCATTCCAAATTTACCAGCTGTCCCAAAGAGTAAATAGGATAGAGAATGAGGATCTGAACTAGTCCTGCCTAGAGTACATCTGTCTCCCTCCTTCAAGCTGGAGATTGGGAAGGAGGCAAGGCTAGACCGGGTGCAGCTAGGCAGCAGCGTTTTGGGATCCAGCAGATTCATTTTTCTCAGTGGCACAGATATTTCAGGTGAACCTGTGAGTCTCACTCACCTGGGTTGTATCCTCAGAACCTCCACTTCCTGGTGGGTGCGGTCTCTGAACCATGAAGCCTGAACCTGCCCCCTTAAGCCTATTCAGCTTGTGTCTCTGATGCTGAACTTTGTCAGAAACACATAGAAGTTGCCACTTAAATGCCTACTTCACTGCTTTCCAAGACACAGGAAGGCATGGGAGCAGTCTGGGTTAATGCGGAGGGATGCTGGATCCCTCCTCAAGGATCCCAAGTTAATCTCTCTGAGAGCAAGGCCTCCTCATAGTAAGCTGAGCGTGCGTGTGGGTGTTGGCCTGCATCACGTTCATTCATGCACACCGGACTTCTATAGTCAGGTGGCTCACAGATCACTACCTTTCATTAACCCTGGGGCTTTCTGATCGGTGACAGTGCCCAGACCCTCTTATTTTCCTTCTTGATACTTCCTGGGGTCAGTTCGCCCCTCCAAAGCAAGCATTCAAATGAGGCAGATTTCTCTAAGAAAACCAGCCCCAATCATTACAGGGTAAATCCCAAGAGAATTAGGGCTGGTGCGTTCCGATGCACCTGACCGACCCATACTTGAATTTTTCAAGACAAGTGGTGAATCTTAAGGGGAGTATTTTGTCCTCTTGTGAGGAAAAGTACTTTAAAATGTGCAAAACTGAGGAATCAGAGCTTAAGGAAGACCAAGACCCATTCTGGCCAAACTTTATAGGGTGGTGTCGTGTCTCTCATTTTGGTTGCTGCTTGCTGTCCCACATGAGACATTTAACCCACAGGCCTTACCAGTGTGGGGATCTTATTTGAGAGCTTGGCTTTCATAGCAGAAATTATTATATACCCTAAGACACAAGAAAAAGTGCTTCCTACCTCTTGAACAGTGATGTCATCCTCCTTCTCGGCTTTTGTATAATTCAAGTTCATCTCTAAGCTCTGATGTTGCTCTCCTTTACCTGAAATGATTCTGAATCATAAGTGTGATTAAGGAAATTCTGTCTGAGGCCATTTTTTTTTTTTTTTTTGTATTCACATATGTCCAAGCTGCAAAATAAGAACTAAGCATGGTAATAACATTGGTCCAGAAATGACCAAATCTGCATGCTTTCTTCTGGGCCTGCTGCCAGGAGGGGAGCTAGCTGCCTGATGGGAGCATGGTATGCTTCTTCTAAAACCTCCTTATTTGGGGGTTCTCCCCCAGAGACAGAGAAGAAAATCCAGGGGAGGTATCAGCCTTGGAAGCCATCTGGTTTCTCATGCCGACAAAAAGCACGCAGGGCAGGTTGCTCACAAAGAATAGGCATCTCCCATCTCTCGAATCTCTGGCTCATCCAGGATAACCCCAAGTCACCCCCAAATAAGGGTCTGCAGTGCCAGAGTGGTATCCGGCCGATGGCGAATCCCTTCTGCATCTCACTCTTGTGACGCAGCCGAGGCTTAGCTCCTGTTTTGCAGCCATATGGGAATTGAGCGGGTCAGATCATATATAAAGTATGTAATCACCTGACATGCTAAGTGTCTGTGTGTGCCCTGAGACTGAAGCGCAACCTGAGCTTGCCCTGTCCTTGTCTAGGAAACACACTGGAGAAGAAAGGAGGCAAGGACTTTGTGGAAGCTGTCCTGGAGCTCCGGAAAAAGAACGGACCCTTGGAAGTGGCTGGAGGTAAGGAAGAAAGCACGCGCATGTGTGGGTGTGGCGACGCTGGGGGTTAGGGAAGGCAGTTTGGAGACAGCTTGGGATTCAGAGGCGGCAGCGCAGGTGTGTCGGTGAGATGGAGGGGGAGCCTGTTGGCTTTACAACTTGGACTTTTGTCACATGCAGATGGTTAGGAGAGCTGAAGGGTTGTGGAAACCACCCTTCCAATCTTTTTTCTTTATTGCTTAAAATAGCTTCTAGATGTTTGATGTCAAATTTTAAGGAATTACAGAAGTTGAGTTTGGCAAACTTAAGCTCTGAAAATTAGAGACAGTGTTACTGAGCCATCTGTAAAACTGCTGGTGAGAGATGCAAATTAATCACTTTTATTCAGCCATCTGTGCTTTTAATGGGAAGATATAAAGACACATTTCTCACCTACCAATGACACCATTCCTGATATAGGGGAAATATGATGTGGGGAGGAATAGTGCCAAGTAAGGTCTGTAGAGGCCAAGTACTGGTTACTGCTGCCTGCTTAGATATTGGAATTTTAGGTGGGCAGAGACCTCCTGAGGATCTGGAGTCCACAGGGGTGCGGCCTGGTTAGCCTACAGCTGTGCAAGGATAGACTCTGATTTCCCTTCTTACTAGATGGTCCCCAGTGCCCAATCTCTCTTCAAATCCTGCTTTTAAAATGAATCTTAATTAAATACAGGTATCAATAACTACTGTATGTCCACAGAAATCCTTCTCAGAAGGTCCATCTATCATAACCCCCTCCCCCAGGGACTACATCTGGCTTGTTACCATAGGCTAGTCATGCATCCCTGTGCCTTTGACCTCTGTTCTGCCAGTTGTTTGCCTACAAGGGGCATGGCATTGCACAGGGGCACAATGACCAAGCTATCCCAGCCAGTTCCGACAAACAAGGGAAGACACACACAGCGTAATCTACCTGACCAGGGTTCCTGGCCTTTCTTCAGCCCCTGCCCAGCGTCCTCCCATTGGTGCTCAGTTTGAGCCTATTTGGTGGCCCTGGTGCTGCCATGCACCAAACTCAGCAAACCCATTAGCTTTAGTATGGATTTAGTATGGTAAAGATTTGTTTGCTTGTTTTAATAACAAAAACATACTTTGTTCTTGATTTTAGGAATTTAGAAAAGGTTTTTTAAAAAATAATCACTGTTAACATTTCTCTCCACTCTTTTCCATATATAGTTGAGCAGTGATGAATCACATGGACAGACCAATGAACTAAACCCAGTCTTAGGTTTTAATAGGTCAACACTTCAGCTCAGCCTTCTAAAACCAGTCAGTAAGCCTCGCCAAGATGCACACTCACACCCATGAATCTTGGTCCAGAGCTATTTCTACTGTACCATGAGACAATACCCACAAATCACCTACTAATGACATGTTCCTCACAAAATGGATTTAGGAAATATTCTGTCAAACCAGAAAGTTTGGGTGTCTTCCTGTCGCAGTTGTGTGGGGATTCAGGTACTTCAGGATAGAAGCATGCAGGCAGCACCCACCAACCCTGGGACTGAGAACCACCTCCTTTGCATTGCATCTTAGGGAACAGGAATCCTGAAACGTGCTCTGGGAGACACCAGGCTGGCTGGTCCCATTTCCTTGGGGGAGTGGGGGGGAGGACGTGGCAGAGATGGAGCAGGTCTACTATGTGTAGCTGGAAAAAGGCTCCTTTTTTGGCAAAAGAAAATAGTTCCATCCTAGAAACAGTCTAATTCTGCCCAAACTAGATGGTTAGGGAGAAGAACAGGGCAGCAAACATGCTAGTCGGGTTGCTTCCCTCATAAGTTTGTCCTGAACTGTGTCTGGGAGACCTGTAGATACATAATTATATATGCACATGAATGCACTTGAGAAAAGGGGGTTAGAGACCCCAAAAGGCAGTTATTCGGAGGCTGCAAACATTCTGACACAGTCCATCATGTTAGATGGTTAAGGCTTTGCCTTCTGGGAAGGTAGAGGAAGAACTTACTACAGTCTTGGCTAAAATTCCTGTGGTGATGCAGCCAATACTAACTTTTCAAGGCTGGGTCTTGGCTTGGCCTCCCAGAGTAAGAGGACTAACTGAGGAGCAGTTTCCAGCCCACGCTTATGTGGGAGTCCCAACTCAGCAGGCAGCAGTGCCGTGGCTGGAGAATGGGTCTGTGTTTGGCATCTAGTGCTGTGCTCTTTGCCGAAGAACAAACTCACTGTTCCTGTCTCATCCCTTCCAGCTGCTGTCAGTGCAGGACATGGCCTGCCCGCCAAGTTTGTGATCCACTGTAACAGCCCCGTCTGGGGTGCAGACAAATGTGAGGAGCTGCTGGAAAAGACAGTGAAAAACTGCTTGGCCCTGGCAGATGATAAGAAGCTGAAGTCCATTGCGTTTCCATCCATCGGCAGTGGCAGGTAAGGGCACCTGCCTATTACCATGGCAACCACGGGTTTATTTCTCTGCATATTTAGACCATAATTATGGAGCTCTGACTGTGTACAAGCACTGGCCTTAATCTAGGGGAAGAGAGGCAAAAAATCGGGAAGAATATACACATTAAGCAGTGATGAGGGACAGTGGAAGAGACAGAGTGAGACAGGAAGCCTGGGTCAGTATAGAACTTGTGTTGCGACAGCAAATGGCACCACAGAGGGTAACTTCAGAGTGTCCTGGGACTGTCAGAGATGATGGCTCAGAGAGTGGGTGTGGAGGACAGGGGTGGTGTGGATGCAGGGATCTAATTAAAGGAGGGTCCCTCCAGAACCATTCCAGGGTAAAGCCCTCTGCCTCGTACCTATGTGTTCCCAAGCGACCTTCGCCTCCCACACCTGCTTGCTCTGCCTCATCACCCTGCTAATGAGGCCGTGGAACCTGCTGGAACTGAGCGGGCAGTTGTGTGAGGGTGAAATGGGGCTGAACCTACCTCACCTCTCAGCCCTGTATTATCCCCAGGTGAGCGTACTGAGGTTGTGAGGAGCAGCACAGCTGCCCCTCAACAGACACACTCCCCAAAGAGCCAGCACGGATGCGGGTTGTCCTTGAAAAGCTGATGGGGCAGCCAGAGTGGTGACCACTCCACCTCCCTGTGCCCTGGTCTGGGGGCAGGCCTGGGGTTGAGTCCTGGCACACAAATTGACCCCAATCTGAGCCCAAATCCCTACTCTGAAAAACAGGCATAACAATCCCTCATAACAATCTTAAAAGACCTCAATTTCCTAGGCCTGCTCTGGAAATGAGGGAGAGGACTGTGAGAACTCTGTGATGTAGCCATGAGGGCCTGTAGGAGCCATACTACCTCTGAGGGGTCCCACTGCCCCTCACATCACCAGGGTCCTCCCTGCAAAGGCTCACGGTCTGAATTTGGCCCTGAGAAAAGGGAGACTGGCCTTCAGGACTGCAGCTGTTGGCATCTTAGGCCCAAGTGGGGCCACAGTCCAGGGCTCTATATCAGCAAGTGGCTGCACCTGAGCTTCGCATTAGGATCATGAGCTGCTTGGATTTCTGCCACCAGCCCCTCTCTCAGTGCCCAAGGAAGTCAGGGCTCTGCAGAGGCAGCTGGCTTCATACGGTGCCAGTGGCAGTCCCAGAGTCAATTTAAGACTTTTAAAAATACTATCTAATAAAAGAGTAATATGCAAATTGACTACACCTCCATAAGCCATGCCCACCAGCCAATCAGGAATGAGTATGCAAATTAACCCAACCAAGATGGCTGCAGTCACGGAGAGAGCAGGAGGTTTGGGTTTCCCTGGCAATGGAGGAAGCCAAGATTTCCGCACACCCTGGCGGGCCCAGGGCTCCACTCAAGGCTACAAAGTTTCAGTTATAGAAGATAAATAAATCCCAACAAAATGGCAGCAGCCACAGAGCTAGAGAGAGCAGGAAGCTCAAGTTGCCTGAGGCAATAGAGGAAGCCAAGTTTCCTCAGCCCTGGCCTGTGTTAGCCTCTGCTCAAGGCTACAAAGTTTCAATTATAGAAAATAAATAAATCCCAGATACCAGGGCCTCTGCTTGGATCACCAGGGGGTGTGGCCAGCCTGCAAATCACCACAGGCCCCTCACCCAGGCTGCCCCACACACCCCAAGGGAACCTCCACCCTGATCCGGGACACCCTTCAGGGCAAACCACCAGCCCCCACCTGTGAACCAGGCCTCTATCCTATCTAATAAAAGAGTAATATGCAGATTGACCATCACTCCAACACACAATATGGCTGCCCCCATGTGGACACAAGAGGGCCACCATAAGATGTCCAGCAGGGGAGGGCAGATAGGGGTGAACATGCCTGCAGGGGAGGGCAGTTAGGGGTGACAGGCCTGCAGGGGAGGGCAGTTAGGGGCAAACAGACTGGCAGGGGAAAAGTTAGGTATCAATCAGGCTGGCAGGGGAGTGGTTAGGAAGCGATCAGGAAGGCAGGCAGATGCGGTTAGGGGCAATCAGAAAGGCAGGCAGGCGAGCAGTTGGGAGCCAGCAGTCCTGGATTGGGAGAGGGATGTCCGACTGCCCGTTTAAATGGGCAGTCTGACATCCCTCAAGGGGTCCAAGATTGGAGAGGGCACAGGCTGGGCTGAGGGACACACACATAAATTTTGTGCATTGGGCCTCTAGTTTTTTTTATAAAATGCTTTTGTATCAGAGCATAAATAGCCAGCTTCTCCACAGAAAGTCTGTTATTTGACACTGCACTGCTGTGTGACCTTTGATAAATGAATCACTCTCTCTGTCTGAGGACTGCCCTTCCTTATAGGCAGTTCTGAGGTTCAGTTAATTAGTGCTTTGGAGGCACTTTGATCTGCTCTGATGAAAGGTGCTTCCGAAGAGAAGCACCGAATAGAAGCCATTATTGGAGGTAATAATTTCATGCTCTTTCATATGGCTATTGGGGAATTTCTAATTGAAGCATAAAAGTAATTCTCATAAAAGAGCATCTGTTATTACAAACTCATTTACATTTTTCATGGAGTAAAAAGTTTTAAGAAATAATCAATTGAAAGCTTTTAAGAGGGTGGAATTCCTAAGGTAAGCACATGTGCACAGCTGCCACATCTGCCAGGCAGACCTTGCCCCACAGCACCGTGTAAACAGCCACCCTCTCTTTCATGAGTAAAGAATGGGATTACACCAGAGCTGGCCAGTAAATCACAGTGGGTTTTAGGAGGGGAAATAAAACAGCTTGTTTGCGGCATCCAGTGTCCCTGGCATAAAAGTCATGTTGTAACTAAAGGGATAGAAATGCAAATATGATGGTAAAGTGGGCTCACTTTCTCTCAGCCAAGGCATAGCTTCCCAGGCAGATGAAGGAGGACCATGACCCTACACTTCCTTCCTCCCACCTATTGCCCCCCAGACCAATCTCCAAGCCATTGGGTATAAATAAGAGCTGGGGGTATAAGCCAGCCTCTGGCGTCTGGACATCCTGCCCTTGGGCACTCGGTCACAATATTTATGGACACCTCCACTCCCTCAGTTCTGGTTGACATTAGGGAGTGACCCCTTTCCAAAGAGGCAGTTCATAGGGAATAGCTAGTTTGGGGCTTTGATTAAACTCTCCGTAGGTTTATGAGCTTAAACAGAAAGCCAATTCGTCTTTTCCAGGTAACCATGTATGGTATTCGTTGAATTAGGGAGAATTACTTATCAACCCACCACATATGAGCCTGGACCCCTCTCTAGCCTTGGGGGACAGAGGCCCATCATCCCCTCCTAAATTTTGGCTTCTCCAATTTGTAGCACCTGATCTTTATCTCTGGGTGGAGTGGCCTCTCGATGGGCAACTTCAGAGAGACAGTTACTCAAAGCCAGACAGAACATGAAAAAATGGAGGAGCCCAGGATCACAGTGTGAGGGAGACCTAATCCCAGCAGATGAGTATTCACATCACCCAAGCTTCCAAGATATCCAGCCCAACCCATCTCCCAAGCAGCAAAGTCAACTAGACAGGTGGCCTGGCCCAGCAAGGAAACCAGACTCAATCTGAAATCCACGTCACTGCTACACAGGGGCAAGCTCCCAGTCTGTCTCCTCCAGAAAATCCACCTGCACTTCCCCGCCCCCAGGGCACAGCCTCTCCCCGTTGGTGCCTGATTGGCCTCCTCAGCACAGCTCTGGACCTGCCCTGCCCAGCACTGGAGGACAGCTCACCAGGAATGGGGGTGCTTGTTGATGCCCCATGCAAGGAGCAGGGTCTTCTGTGAAGTGGCCCTGCAAACGCACATTTCTGCCATCCGGTCCCCAACCATCACTGAGCAGGCTGATCCAAGAGGGAACCAAAAAGATAGTCCACAGGGTCCCTTTGCACCAGGCTAGGGAAACTGAGGCCCAAGACATTTAGGAAAGGCTGTCCGAGACATAACTGGAGTGACTTCGGAGGAAGCTCAGATATCTGTCCTGGGTATGCTCAAGGCAAGACCAAGAAAACAAAACAAAAAAAATAGCTCTAAGAGTTTGAGATAAACTCGGCGGGGTGTGAGCACTTAGCCACAGAGAAACTTAGGACACATGCCGTAAGCACAGCCCGGGTCAGGCCCATGGGAATGAGGGGCGCCTTCACTTTGTCAGGGCAGCAGTGTCCACATCACCACCATCCTGCTCATCACCATGTGAATCCTTGAGGCATTGTTTTCCAGTGAGGAAACTATTGCCTAGAGAGGTTAATGCCCATCCACGTCAGATCCAAGCCTGACTGTGTGTCAGAGGAGGTGTAGCTGGTCTCTCCAGAAGGCACGCACGGTGCAGCACAGGACAGAGTGACGGTAACAGGCAGCAGGCCTGAGATGCAGGAAGAAGGCGAACTGCATGGCCACGCAGCACTGGTGTGCAGAAGGGCTGTGTCTGTGCAACCAATAGGGGTAACCCCTCGAAAGTCGAGGGAGACATTTTAGGCAAGCAGCTCTCCGGAACCTGGGCAGTGCCACACCAAGGAACCCCTACCTGTGCCCCTGCCAAGCTTCGGCATGCCAACAGCCATGGCCGACAGCCCTCCAAGAGGACTGGGGCCTGATGCCACATTATTAGCACAGGGTAGTTACGACGACAGCAGCTGTCACCCGTCACTATCATGGGGTCTGGAGTGGGGAGGGATTTTCCACGGGGTGAGCCTTCAGAAAGACCTTCGTGACCACCCGCCTCACAGATACACCTGTGGAGGAGGACTCGGTGTAGCATCTTGCTCGTCCTCACAGCCTCCTCAGGTAACAACCCCATTGATTAGATTACCTGATTGATTACCTCAGGTAACAACCCCATTGATTACCAACCCCATTGCACCAGACGGGGAAACGGGGCACAGAGACAGGGCCCAAAGTCAAATCCTGTATGTCTCCAGGTCACCGCATGGGCCACAGCGGTCCCTCAATGGTGCAGGGCTCTGTGGAAAGCATTCCTGTGAGAACATCTATTTGAACATACCGTTTCATTACATATTCTCTAACTGGCTTCTAGGAAACACTGGAACCCCACCAGAAAACATTAGGAAAGCCGTTACCTCCATTCCTGGCCCTGGGTGGTCCAGTGTGGCCACCTCCCGTGGTTGTGGCTATCCAGCGCAGAGGGACGGGTTCAGCAGCAAGACGTTTTCCTGGAAATAAATCAGATTCACATTTACTCAACAGCCACCCTGAAGCACAAGGCCAGCCCAGCCCGCACTCCATCAATAGGAGGGCATGCAGGCGTGGACACTGCACCTTTAAACCCTTTGATCCTTACCTGTGTCCCCACTTGAGGTTCTTCACCTTTGTGCCTACCCTGCAAGTTCAGATGAGAAAGTCCTGTTGGCTCCACAAAGAACAGTCGCTCCAAAGGGGGGGTCCCCACACCTGCTGAGTCAGCTCCCTGCATGGAGCCCAGCAGCCTCCGCTTCCACAAGCCCTCCTCAGCCCTGACTAACGTTGAAAATATCCCCTTGCTGAGATCACAGCCCTTTTCAGGGGTCCCAGGTAGAGGGACGGGAAGCTGTGGGAGCAACACAGTAGGCTTCCCTGTACAGGCTGGAGACATGCCCTGGGGACATCCCTGTCTTGTAGGATCAGGCTTCACTTCTAACTCATCCAGAAGCCACAGGGTCCATCGCCAAGCTGGATAAAGCCCCGTTTGATTAAAAGCAAGTCAGGAATGGTTTTCTCCTGCGCATCAGAAGCACTCTGAGCACTGACAACAGAATGAGCGCAACTCTCCAAGGGAACAACTAAGGCGGCCAGAACCCTGGCTACCAGTGAGGGGCGCTGGCGTGCTTAAGGCATCTCTCACCTGGCAGCCGGTATTCAGTCTGATGGAGAGTCCAGCTGAAACTGGCAGGCTGGTCTGGCCCTTGGGGCACCAGTGGATCCACAGGCTCAGAGCAGTTTGACAGCTGTAGATCTGCTGATGAACAAAGAAACCTCATGAAAACTACCTCTCGGCATCCTTAAGTGTAAACCGGGGTAAGGGATTTGAATCTAGGTAGGACCAGTGGCTCCAAAGCCCATAGTATTTCCACTAGACTAGGCAAGCTGCTATGTTACTGTGTCCCCCTGGGTCACCGGTCCTGCCTGTGCAGTGTTGACCATGAATAGCCTTGGACTCGCATGAAACAAGGAGTCCTGATTTCAGATTCTTGCTTAAGTTCTGAGGCCCTTCCCCCCCAAATTGCCATGTGATGTTTACTTTAAATGGAAATGCATGTGTATTCACTCCAGTCTGTCTTAGAGACTTGGATGCTGTCCCTTGAAATGAAGAGCCCACTTGGCCCAGCATTGTTTCTCTGCACCCACAGCTCCCTAATGCCCTGGCCCTTGGGGTGCTTCAGGCTGCTGTGTGCTTGGAGTGGGCTCCTGGCCAGCAGCCCAGCACCCAGAAACCTAAGGATCAGTGTGAAGGGCGTGACCTCCATCTTGTGTGGACGGAGACGAGTGCTTCTTGGAGAAGCACCAGCCCCCAGCCGTCCTCTGGGCTGAGATCCACAGGGAGCCTTTGAGAGCCTGGACTCTGTCCCAGGCCCCTTGCTGGCCACAGTGATGCTGGAAAAACAAACATGGGAGCTCCCGCTGCCCGGAGAACTTTAATGCACACCACGTGCCGCAGAGCACAGATCTGTCTGTGTGCTCATTGTCTCTCAGACTTCTGGCATGCCTTCCTCCTCTGCACACACAGGACAATCTCCTGCAGGTCAGTCCTCTGCCCACTCGTCCTTCCCTTGTCTGGTGGGCACTGGGCTTCCTCATGCCTGTCTGTGAGCTTGTGGAAATACTGGCACACGTGGCCTTGAGAGCCTCCTGGGGGCAGGGTGGTGACAGTGACCCTTGGCCTCCCTAGTTGCTGAGCCCTGTCCTCTGTCTTGCAGGAACGGTTTTCCGAAGCAAACAGCAGCTCAACTGATTCTGAAGGCCATCTCCAATTACTTCGTGTCAACTATGTCCTCTTCCATCAAAACAGTGTATTTCGTGCTTTTTGACAGCGAGAGTATAGGCATCTATGTGCAGGAAATGGCCAAGCTGGACGCCAACTAGGCCGAGAAACTACAAACCATACCGTGCCCCCTGCCTCCAACTTGAAAGAAAAGAAAAAAAATTAAAAAATAAAAATAAACACCCTTCACTCCTATTGGGAGGCGGGAACCCTTTCGTTTCCAATTTTGCTCATCTAGGGAAAATAAGGTTTTGGTTTCCAGTTTAATTGTTTCGACTTTCTAAAATGTTTTCACGTTAGCACTGATAGTTGGCATTACTGTTGTTAAGCACTGTGTTCCAGACTGTGTCTGACTTTCGTGTAACCTAGGAGATTTTATTGTTTTATTTTAATGAAACCCTGCTTGCCGCAGAGCAGCCGGGAGAGCAGCGTCCACCACGGGCGGCAGAAGCCAGGAAACCCGCTTTGTGACCGTGTGTCGTGGTGCTTTACTGTACACCCAGTGGCGTTTTTACTATAATGTTCCTTTTCCCCCCAAGAAGAAAAATCATGAATATACCGCAGGCTTAATTTTTGTTTACTTTTTGTCTTAATGATGGATTTGAAAATGAAAGATTTAAAAGGCAGAACAGAATCTGTTGCCCTTAAATATATTTGGAATTTGTGTGACTTGATTTAGTAAAATGTTAAACTGTTGCTTAGCGTGTTTGAAGTTATTGTGCCCTTGAGTCCAAAGTCAGCTTCTCTCGTCACAGGATGGGAGCCTTGGGTGCGGCAGCCCACCCCCAGCAAACACCACAGTGGCCACGGCAATGGGATAGGCAGGTGGGCGTTTCAGGCCCTAATGGCTGGTAGAGGGAGTTTATAGAAAGTCTCTGCTTTTATCCTGGTGACACTTGGGCAAGGGTGTTATCCCATTTCATAGATAAGGAAGCAGATATACTGAAAGCAGGTGGCAAGTGGCAGGCTGGTCCCAGAGCCCAGGTGTTCAGACTCTGAGCTCAGACTCTCTTGCCACCCATCCCCTCCTGCCGGTCTCTGGGGCTCATGGCTTTACCCCGTGCCCCTGGCCACTTACCAGATGGAGCTGCAGAAGCCTTGAGACCTCTGCCAAGGCCATGCTGAGCCTATTGTTCCTACAGGATGGGGTCCCTGGTACCAGGAACTTTCTGAGGGCAGTGTGCCACCACCGAGGTCCCCAAGATGTGCTGCCAGTGTTTACATGCCTCCCCCCAGCTGTGGATGTTTAGGGATGTGGATTATTTAGAAAAATCCCAGCTGGACCAGAGTAGCTAAACTCTTATTACCTAAACTCAGCAAAAACACAGACACTGTTTGCTTCAAATGTACTTTTGCTGTCATCTAAATGTGTCTAAAACACAGACTGCTTCTATCTGTTTAGAAAAAAAAAGTGCCTGCTTCTAAAGCACACGTTAGCCAGGACACATGCAGCACACTGCACATCATGGGTGCATGGAAAGGACCCTTTCCTGCTTTCCAAACTGGCTGTGGAAGTCAGAACGGGAGTGCTAAGCCATTGCACACCTAGCTTCTTTAATGAAAAGGCAACTACTTCTAACTCAAACCTGAAATATAATCTTACCAAGTTCCTCCTCAATGTAAGGTGTTATTGAGACTGGATTCTCCCCCTCTTCCCGCCAAGATCTTTACTGGGTTTAGATTACGCGTTTTTACTTGATTAGAAATCTGGTGTTTTACTGAGTGCCAGGCACGGTGTTGAGTCCCCTATGGGCATCACTTCATTTTGTCCTTGTGGTCACCCCATAGGATAGGTTTTGTTATTGGGGCCATTTCACAGCTGGGAACACGGAGGCGGGAGAACTGAGGTGACTTGCCCGTGTCAGAAGTAACGTTGCTAATCAGTGACCACCAGGTTCAAATGCGGAGACGCTGACCACCGTGACGCAGGGCCCCTGGGCACACTCATCGGCAACCAGAGAGTCATTTGCCCTTGGTGGTATTTCTAACTCAGAGGCAGAGACACAGATGGCACTGAGGTTTAAAAGGCTTCTAGGCGAGTGGTATTTCCCTCGCTTTGGAGAAGGGACACCAGAGAAGCAAATCCTGTGCCTAGTGCATATCTCCACTAGATGGTGCTAACAGGTCTGGGAAATAAAAAGGGACAGCTGGTTTCTGCTTTTCCCCCTGTGCTGGCACAAAAGAGTAAATTGCATTGGTCAGGGTCTGCGTGAATTATTTACCATAATCACCTAAATGTTTCTAAACTTTCAATAATCCAAAGTGCATCATGCCCCTGAGCTGTGGGCTCCTTGAAGATACTCTTCAATGAAACAGGGAAAGAGCCAACCAGCTGCCTGGGATTCCCATCATCTCCAAACCACCCAGTTCGTTTTAAAACTGGGATCAAACATTGTTCTCTGATGTCAGCCTCATGTTTACGGGAAAAAGAAAACAGCTCATTACTTTGAAAACTGGGGTGGCTGCAAGGAACCGCTTAAAAGGCCACATGCCTCTCTCCAAAATATATATTTACCAACAACGAAGTGATTCTCTGAGGGGGAAACCTGCATGCAGGTTGTCTCCACCCTCCCCTCTTCTGTAAGTTGTGTCAATGAGTCCCACTGCCGGTGTGCTGTCCCCCAGCCCGACCATGGTCAGGCACTCCGTGATCCCGCCGTGGCACAAGGCAGACGGCGTCCCCCCACCTGCACCCACACTTGTTTCTGACAAGCAACCCCACCTGGGCAGCAGGGCTCTGCCCTGAGTGATACAGTCTCTGCACTGCTCCTCCCGGAGACTCTAAATATCATCCGAGACCTGACACGGCACCAAGGCTCTGACTAGATTAAACGGGCAGTCATAACCGTGTGTGTGCAGGCACAAACACCAACCCTCTACACCCATCCTCTCATCTGCTTCTCCTGGCAGCAATATCAGGTCGGTTACATGATCCCTATGTTACAGATTGAAAATGTCAGCAGAGAGGTAAAGCATAGTCTTCGAGGTCACACAGCTATCGGTAGTGGAGCTGAGATTTGAACCCAGCTGACTGACTACAAACAGCTCTCCCTCTTCCCCACCCAGGGGCTGGATTCTCCTTTGGTATGCAGCCCCAAGCTGTGCTCCAGGGAGGCAGAGCCGCTTGTCTATTCACCGATAGGTGTCCAGTGCGGTCAGCCCTGGCAGCATAAACAGCCTATTGGACGAGAGGCGAACAGAAAGTGTATTTAAAGCAACCTCGTGGCCAACAGGATTTATTGGGTCTTCCTATGAATGCAGCCTCAGATCAGGGCCTCTTACAGGCCTAGCAGAGTAGGGACCCCGATAGTGCCTGCTGAATATGCACTCAGAGGAGGGGGTGTGCTCCCCAGCTCCGGTGCTCAGGGAGGGCTTCTTGGAACAGATCAAGAGCTGGAATTCGTAGGAAATGTTGGAATGTTCTAGGCTAAGAGAGCAAGCTGCACACTCACCCCGAGCTGTCACGTTCCCCCCTCCTCAGAGACAGCAGTGGGTGGGAGGTGGCCTGGCAATGTATTCATTACCAACTGGGATATTAAATGTTCACTGCCGGGCGCCACACGCTAACGTTATCTTGGGAGCTGGCCTTGGTGCCGCTTGGCGTGACCGGCCTGCAGGCACTGGCAGTGGGAGGAGGGTCCTACCCCTCACACCCCCCCCACTCACCTGGACTGAGAAGAAAGGGAAGTGCTCAATGGCCAGGGTGAGGCCCCCTTTACTTCCATGTATAGCCTGGCCTGTGTGTTTGCTTTTGAGGCCCCCATATCAAAATAATATCACATGACCCTCCTGACAAGCGAGGCAATAAAACTGCTCATTAATCCCAGCCCCCATCACCACCCCTCTGTGCTCCTCAGCTAAGGTGTGTAAATAGACTGGCCTTTCCCTGACCCTGAAAACTAACCCAGCCGGGGCTGCTTTGTCAACTCTGAGGAGAGTCTCAGAAACACTCTCTCCACAGAAGGCACTTTCCTCCTCACTTCTCCCCACAAAGTGACTCCCACCCCCACACACACCCATGCACACACACACGCCCATACACACACACACACACACACACACACACACAGGCCCTCCCACACCATGCACATGCACATCGATGCAAACCCCATGCATACACATCCATTCATACCCCACGCACACACATATCCATTTACACATACACACCCTCCCACACCTATGCAAACCCACGCATACCCATATTCTCACACACACTCATACTCACTCATACTCATGTGCACACACACACATACACACACACACCTAAAGAGACTCGAAGCCCGCTGTGTCTGAGCGCAGAATTGAGGGGCATGCAAAGAAACATCCAGCTTGAGCAGAGTCAGCCTGAACTCACCTGCCAAACAGCTGACCTTTCTCCTGGGAAATGTCCTTGTTACCCTTGACCTGCTCAGAGGGGGAGCCCAGACCACTTCTGGAGTCGGCAGGGGCCTCACCCCACAGTGGGGGATGGGAGCTCTGCTGATATGCCCTAGAGCAGATGCCACAGGTAACGCGCTCACTAAGAAAGAAGCTTCAAACTTTCCTGCAAACTGTCCCAGTGTCACAGGCTAAAGGTCACTGCCTTGGCTGTGGGTGATGACCACACTTCACGGAGGGCAGAAAACTAAGTCTCAGAATAGCATCTTCCAAGTCCTCTTGTGTCCAAAGCCCAGAAACCAGAGCCATGACCATTACACAGAACAATGCAGCCCTGGAGGCATGCAGGCAGGCCACGTGTGCCTGGCTGGCAGAGTTCCCCCTCCTCCCACATGCAGCCTTCCCAACGAGCCCAGGCTCCTGGGCAAGAGCCCAGCAGGCCAATGGCTCCTCCCTGCTGACCATCCTAACTCGACCTTCTCGAAATGTCTACCTGAGCAGGCCCTGGCCAGGCTGGTTGGGAAACCTGATATTTCTGTACCTAAACATGACGCAGCTTCCTAAGCTTAAGAGAATAAATTAGAGTGGAGTTCACATCGGCACAGCTGCGGCAGATGGGCAAATTGATTTGCTCCCCATCTGGGAGATTAAATTCCTCTGCCCCCAAATGGCAGCGGGGTAATGAGCTGTCAGTCAAACGGCAGGAGCCCGGGCTGGGCGCATAATTGAGCCCTGGCAGCTCCTCATTAGGCCCACATCGTCCTGGCTACAGATTCCCACCTGAGGCGGCCTCCGAGTCCCGCGGAGAACGCACTGGGCCTGGCGACACATCCTCTGGAGGGAAGTGCCACCTTGGGCCAGGCTGGGCCAGCGCGGAGGAACTTCCGATTAACCAAGGTGCTTACGATATATTTGTCAGCAGCCGCCGATAGCCAGCCCCTCCAGGGCTTAATTATGGGCAAATCCAAACAATTGGAAGGATATCAATGACTTCCTTTAAGATGACACCCAAGGGACCTTACTTACCAGGGAGCCCTGGCCTGAATCTTGGTGCTTCACATGTATCCAGTCACCCCAGGGCTTCTCAGGGGCAGCACCCCAAAACCATCCCCACAGCCCACTCAGGCCTGTACAGCAGGTAAGATACACACATGCATCCTGCCAGTTCAGTCCTCCCAATGCCCTGAGATGACATTCGTGTCTCCATTTGTAAAACAGATAAGAAATGAGGGCCCGTGGAAGTTCAGAGCTGTCTCCTGAGGTCTTCTGAGGCCTGGGATTCGAGGAAGGCTGGTCATTTTCTCCAGCCTCATCGTCCC